GCCGCCGCCGGCGCGGAGGGAGGAGGGAGGACGGACAGGCGGGGGCTCGGGTAGGGAGGGGAAGGGGAGGGAGAGGGGGAAGGGGGGAGGGGGGAGGAAGGAAACAAAGTCCTCTGGGGAAGCCGGTCCGCCGGGCAGAGCCACAGACGGAGCCGCGCCAGCTCCTCCCGCCGCTGCCGCCGCCTCCTCGGCTCAGCCTCGCACTAACTGGCCGCCATTACTGTCCCTTCTCCCTTTCTCTCCTCGGTCCGCGGCGAGGCCCTCGGTGGCCGCCAGGGGGCGCTGCAACGGCGCGGCCGCCGCGCGCAGGCCGAGGCGGCCCCCGCTGCGTACTTTCTAGCACGTAGCCGGCGCGCTCTATGGCCCCTGGCGCTGGGCGCCGCGGGGGAGGTGGCGGATGGTGGCCCCCGGCCGGGGTCCTTGGGGAGCGGGGCGGCGGCGGGGCGACCGGTCCTCACACACACACACACCCCCCCCCGCCCCCCTACCGGAGGGACAGCGACCGCCGGCTTCCCGGCAGCCGGGGCGGTTTCCAGGGGAGCCAGGGCGGGGGGTTGCTCTGGCTTGTGGCGCTGAGGGGAGCGGAGGAACCCGGGCGGCGGCGGCACCGACAGCGGCCCCGCGGTGGGGCCCGAGCGGCCGCTGAGGCGCCAGGGCCCGGGCCGTAACCTGCCCGAACCCTGTCGGGAGCCGGCGGGCCGCTGGACGGGCCTGGCCCGGCGCTCCCGCCATAACCCGGCGGGGCGGTTGAGCCGCCGCCTCCTCCTGAAGGTGTAAGCCGAGGGCTGGGGGTGCGCTTAGGTGAGGAGTTCAAGGCCAGGGCAGAGGCGGCTGCCCGGGGTCGCGGGGGGTGAAAGTGGCACCGTTTACAGCCGAAAAGGGCGCTCTGCCCCGGGACCTTGGCGGAGCGGCTGAGCCTGGCGGCTCTGCTCGCCCAGGTAGGCTCTTCCCGGTCACTGGCGTGACAACTTAGTCGAACAGATCCTCCAAGGATCTCCACCATTTTCCGTGGAAAACTTTCACAGCCTGGTCAGTCTCGCTGTTAAGAAATCCTCTTGATAGCCGGGCTATCAAGAATGTGCCCTTGCTTTGCCTGCCATACGAGTCACTGATAACATCTCGCCGGTTGCTTCAACTTGCATTTGATGTTGATTGCTCAGTCGTTGGAAAGCTTATTTTTCTCTCACCTCCCTCCTCTATCACAGATCCAATAACCGCATTTTAGAGGTAATAATAGTATGTATTACAGTACTTTGGATGCCTAAATGCTTTCCAGACTACTGACGAACTATAATCCAATCACTTCTCACTGATGTGCAGTAAGAGTCGCTCCTCTCCCACAACTTGTTGCCCTTTATTGAACATATCGCAGTGCCTGCACATAAATCCTGAAACCAAAAGCTTTGGAAAAGAAATGTAGCCAAGTAATGCAAGCATAGAGCTATAGGTGACAAAGTCTCAACCTTTAAATTTTCATACTGACTTGTTTGGCACTGCTCAGCAAGTTATTTCAGTGCTTTCTGCCTCTAACGAAAAAGAATAGAATAATAAAATTACGGATCCCATGGCTCAGGCTGTTAGGCTCCAGCAAGCCTTATCAAAGTATTCTTATTGTTTAAAGATAGAAAGAGCCATAATGTTTTAGTAAAGAACAATAAATGTAAAAACATACTATTCTGCTTTACCTGCGTACTCCCACATCTTTCAAGATTAAAGTCCAAAAAAGTATGGTAGAGCATGTACTTAAAAATATAAAATATGCAACAATGACATTAGGATCTATAATCAGAAAATGGGCTATTTAGATTTTCAAGCAAAAATTTCCTTACCGTGAACAGTGACAAATTTTCATTTTTATGAGATACTCCAAAATATAGTGTGTTTCAGCACAGGAACTATGGCCTTTTTCTCATCTGACATTCTCTATTTAGAGCTTTTAGTCAGTATTAGCAACAGTACTTCATCTCCTGTTCAAGAATCTGCAGGGTCTTTCAAAAGTATAGTTGTTTTGCTCCATGAGATTGTTTCATATCCTTTGTTTCTTTATTTGTTTGAAGGTTGTGAAAGTATGTAGCCATTTCATACACTTGTAGGCTAAAGGAGCATTTTAATTGAAAACCTATGATGGTATTTGGAAATCACTTCCTTTTATCCTTCAAAAGTAGGAATAGAAGGCAACTGCAAGAGACTGTTCCTTACTAAACATACTGTGGGAATGACCCAGGAGATCTGTTAGCTAAGAGTTAGTATCACAGTCTTGTGATGACAAATAATGCACTTTTCCATTGCTGTCCTGTACTACTGATAGGCCACATAACTCAGATACAGTGTCCAAATTACGTTGGACTGAAAATGAAAAATAGTATCCTAATCTTCAAGTTTTTGTATGCATCACAAAAATATCATCCCCATTTTGGGAAAACCAACAGATCAATCCATGGCCCAAAAAAGGGCCCAGACTGCAGCAGTTATAGAGGATGTCATAACTCAGGATTGCAATGCATTGGCAGGACTGTTTGGGGAAGCTTGCAAAACATCTGTTTGCAACATGCCTGATTCAAACCAGCACTCCTCCTCTCGTGAACGCTGATGATTTCTTAAAAATAAAATAAACTCAGTCATTGTGCAAGCAAATTAATTTTCCTGGGTGCCTATCCAGATCTGCTTGAAGCGACAGAAAACCCGCAAGTATTTATTTTATATTTACTAAATATTTTTAACATAATTGTGTCCTTTTTTCTTCTTGTGTTCTGATCTCATTCCTGTGAGCCATACTCAAGTGAGAACTCTTTATGACGCCAGAGGGACTACTCTTGTAGAGGGATTGATGTAGTTAAAAATCCCTGCTCACTGCTTTGAACCATTTTTAGTGCTTTATTCTCATTATGTTAGCATAGTAGGGAACATGTGAAGACATGCTTCATTTTGGATGTTTACCCCCTAGATTGTTTTTCACAGATGGTTTTATTTCATTTTAGTTTAGTTGTCTTGTTCCTCTTACAAGGTGCAGCTAGATATTTTGCCTGAAACAGCTTATGGCTTTATAGCTTCTATGTGAGATCCAGCACCATTTTTAGTACTGACAATGTAAATCAATAAATCATAAATTACAAGGTTTGCTTGTTACTTTTGTTTGGAATTTTTGTTTGTAGTACAGAGAACATGTTAACATAGGATTAATACTGTATATCACACATACTTAAAGATTTAAATGTGGTTTAACAATGAAAGAATTACTGTAGAAATGGATTTAGAGTAATTTCACTAATCCAATAATTTACTTGTTCCCATTTTTTATATTTGTTGTTTTGAGAGTCATATGAAGACAGGACAGACCTATTTTGACCGTCTTCAGGTGTCTGTATGCAAGAAAAGCTTTATGAAAAAAAGTAATGTAAGAACTCCAAGTAGCAAAAGACAATGAAGAAAAGAAGGGGAGAAGGATTGGAGCCACACTGCACAAGTGCTATGTCAAAATTTTGTAGAGCTCATTCCCAGTAAGATTCAATTTCAAGATTTGTAGTTTAGTCTTACAGATGTCTAAATGCTTCTCAAAATAAAAGCCATTGGGTAGGACTACATTTCAAATGGAACCAATTTATAACAAATGCTGAAGCTTACAGCAATGTTCAACACCCTTTTATCTCCCGTTGTTCAGAAAAGAAGGTGAAGATATCTGAAACGTATTGAGAAGAAGCCCCAACATCTGCTGTGGCATGTACACCACTGGGAAATTGGAAAAACATTAAAAAGTACTTGAGCAAAAGAATCTCCTTCCATTAAACAAGACTTGGGGAATGAAATCTTACTGGGACTTAGCAATGTAGAGACGTTTAAAAATGACCCAGGACAGAAAGCCGCCTTTGCTCTGTCAGTAGTATACAATGGCACAAGAAATATTTGGAGATGGAAGATTTTGTTGCTACCTGTCCTTATTTTCCAAAGAAATTAGGAATGTGTTACAATAAAAAAAAGTCCTTCATCCCTTATTCAGAACTTTTGTAGAGAGTTTCTGCCTAGTAAGGACCAGAGGACTCTATTCAGTGAGTTACCATTTGCTTCAATCATGAGCAATTTACCAGCGATTACTTTTCAGTATCTCTGAATAGCTATAACATTCCAAAGAATGGAAATCAAATCATCTTTTCAGGACTCTACTTATAAGCTCGTGTGTTCCTCTCTGTCATGCTGTCAACTCATCCTGGTTTCAGTTGAATCTCAAAATAAAAAACTCTCAAGAGATCTTGCTCATGTAAACCTGCTCTAAATCCTTTCCTGGGGGGTTCTTAGGAAATTAAGATTGTGTGGTTTCTCCTCTGAGAACTGTCCATTACAGAGATATGCCCAGGGGATATAAATTTGGAAACCTCAAACAATCAGTGTCCAGCAGTCAGGATTGATACTGCCTTGAACTTGAATACAGTCACTCCACATTGCAAGCATTTTGCAATGTGATTAAAGATAGTCCATTATTTGAAGACTACCATTATAATTTTTAACTGTATAATGTTTTAGAATGAAATAGTTAACGTTCAGTCCTGTTATCAGCACAGCTATCTGAAGATTGTTTTCCACACTATAACAGATAACATCACTGCAACTTGAAGCGGGATCAGAGAGTAGACTTCTTAGATGCCATTAAATGGGAGTGGTAAGACTTACCTCCTAATATTTCAAAATTATCTTCCCATCACATCTAGCCATTAGCTTCCGTAACATTTTTCCCGTTGAACTGAGGTTACAGTAGATAGTTTTTCTGATACTAATAATTGTGTGAAACTCACAGGCTGATGATATTGTAAGCCAGGAGTCTGTAGGGTGTGTTTTTCACTATCATTCAGACTGTAAATTGCTTCCATCTTAGACAAAAGTGGCAAATCATCTCACTCTGGTGTTTATGATCATTAATCATATGAAAGTAGTACTGCCAGCCTGTTACTATGCTGGGTGATATATAGCTCTGTAGTAAAAAACAGACTCTGTTCTAAAAGGCTTACAATAAAAATAGGCATTTATTAGCACATCTGTAGATAAGCTTTAGGAGCATATGAATCCATAATTGCTTGATTAAGGTCACATGGGAAGTCCATCGGAAACATTATTTGCTCATAAATCTCCCTAGTCCTCACACACAATCTTAGAAGTTTATTTTCTTGTTACACATCCAAGAACGATTCTCATAAACTATACTCCCATATCATGATTGTAATTTCACTCTAGAAGTGTCTTTTTTTGAGAATTTACATCATATGTTATTTCCAAATGTGTGTTATCTGGTACAAACAGTTGCTCAGGCTGTCGTGAATTTTTCACAGCTTTATGCATTCCACATTACTTTAAAATTGAAGCTATATTCACTTTTGTTGTGTTCTTGTTTTCTGGTGCAGTCCAAGAGCCCAGCAGCATGTGTGGATATTCCTTTCATTGCATGGGGGTAACACCCTCTTCATGAATGCTGATTCACCAAACATCTCCCATAAAACAATGACTCACGTTTCCATTGCGCAGCTAACTTTCCAGAAACATCAGTTCCTTAAGCTATTTCTCCCTGTGTGGCAGCCTACAAGGTTTAACACTCCTGCAAGGAGTGTGTGGGAAAGGGATGCTGTGCAGAAGAACGTGCTGTCTTTGTCTGTGGAATTGCCAAGTACAGAATAACCAGATTCTGTTCTATTTATTTTACAGTCCCATTTCCCTCCCATTCGGTTCCAGCTCTACATGCATACACTTGCCAAAGGCTTCAGGCAACAACTGCTACCTCAAGTTCAGGTCAATCAATATAGCCGATGTGCAGATGTTTAGTTATAGGTTGCTGATGGTTTCCTCTGGCATAGGTTAATCTTGTTAAATATATGGTTTGAAAATCTCCCTTCAAAATGAATTTTCTGCCTGTTTTTAGATACACTATGTGCACTGGTTCTTCTGTGACCTTGACGGGATGGGTGGTGACAGCTGAAACACTGCTTTACTTTGTCAACACTGAAATTCACTCCTATATTATAAAACAAGGGGTTGTTACTATCTTCCACACCAGTGCATCTGATCTCTCCTGACAAAGGGGCATGAGATGGTTGTATTCATCTCATGAATACCCTGTTAGAGTTTTTTTCAGTGAACTCAGTCTGGGCTGTTTGCTTCTATTCACCACAGGGTAAGAAAAGGACCATTTGCTTCTGTTCATCTCGTGTACTGTTTCTTGCCAGAGAATAAGCTGTATGAAATGCACAGAGTCTAAAAGGATTTTAGTGACCTCTTGATTGTAACAACACTCACTTGAAAACTTCCAGCTTTGAAGAAAAACTGATTTTTTAAGTTATACTGAAGACACGGTAATATCATCCATAAGATTTTTCTTACTTCTATGCTTTGTCAATAGTTTCAGTCCTGAGGGAGAACAGCTGTACTTAGAAGAGCTTTTAAGAAACCACTAAATTCACCAGGACACCAATTCCTATTGTAGTAGGTCAGCATGTCTCCAGCTGTACTCTGATTTCCAGTAATAGACCTAATCTTCTAAATCAATATGTGATTGCAGTTGGGAAGCCTGCATCATTACATCAGGTAAGTCCAATCTTGCCACCTTCTATGCTTACCTCTGGGTCTATAAAATTTTTGCAGAAAGGGGCCCCAAGCAAGGGTTAAGCATATTACTGAACTTTTGTGTTTAATGAAATGGAGCCAATGCACTTAAAGTGTTGAAAGAAAATATAAAACAGTCCAGCACTGCAAAACAAATTTCTTAAGTTTTACCTAGAGCTTTGTAAATTCCTTGAACTTTTCAACAGTGGTATGATACTCTTGTTTCAAGTTCTAAATATATAAAACCTCCTTTAATAGAATCAGTAACACTTGTAACAAACAAGTGCCTTCTATCCAAAAATTTAGTTCTTTAAAACATTAAACAGAAACGGGGAGAACAGAATCTCAGAAATCTGTATTTTGAAAGATAAAACTGTATGTATTTTACACCAAAACAAAAGGCAAATTTCTTTAATATTTTCCCTGAAGATTCATAGGCAGGATCTGTAATTAGATCTCATTCAGTTAAAATTTAAGGATTAATCCAAACTTCCTTCAAAAGGTTTAGTGCATTGGGATTACAAAGAGGAAGGAATTCTGTCAAGGGTCAGATTTTACTTCTGTTACCTTCACTGAACTCTGAGCATCTTATTTCAGTATTTCTGAAGAATGTGATTTTGTTACAATTAAGGGATTCCAGAAACAGCTCCTACACAAGAACGACATTCAATTAAGTATTACCTTTGCTTTTGGAATTATCTTTGATCGCACTTGTAAATTCGCAGTGGATTTTCCATTAATTAATGTTAATTAGATAATTGTAGCTGTTCAATTTAGCTTAATTCTAAACGTTTTACAGTGCATCGCTAATTATTTGGCGGGTGGGCAGGGAAACAAAAATAAAATAAAAAAAAAATAACCAAACCCAACACCTTGTTGCAAAGCATGCAGGTGCAAGCTGTGACCCGTGGGGAGCCACGGCTTTCGCCCTGCCGCGGTGTTTGCTGTGGGCAGCTCCCCACACCACCGGCCCGCAGAGCAGGACTTCGGCCAGGGCGACCCCGTCCCTTTTTTCCCCCTTCTAATGTACCCTCGGGAACTCGGGGGGCTCTGCTTTCCAGCCACCGCGCCGCTCTTTTGTCCTCGGTGCAAGGCCTCGGCAGAGCTCCTGTTCAAATACGTCAACACTCGCCCTTAATTAGTCCTTCCAGCATAATGAGGCATTCCTTACCCCGAAGGGTTCGGTGCGCGGCTGTTCCTGCCGTCTACGCGGGGCTGGAAAGACAAAGAGCCGGGGGCAGCTCCCCGGCGGGGCCGTGGGCGCAGCGCGGCGGGGCTGGAGCGGAGGTGCGGGCGCAGCCGTCTGGCCGAGACACTGGGCCCATTCTCTGCTATTGTGGGCGCTCCCTGAATGCCGCTTTTTGTCCTTTGCTTTACGTATAAACTGTATCTTTTGTTCTTCAGTCTAGGAGGACAAACCTGCCTTCGCAGTAAAACACGCCGGCCTGGCACAGAGAGGTTTATCCGCCCCTCGAAGGGTGACAGCAGCCCGCGGCGGCGGTGCCGCGCCAGGTCCCGCCCGGACGTTTCGCCCCGCTGCCCTCCGAGGGTGCGAGGGGGACTCGGCTCCTCCGGGAGGGCGAGGAAGCTGCGTTTCCCCTGCCCCGCACAAGCGCGTGCCGAACCCCACGCACCCCACACGCATGGGTCCTCAGCCCCTCGACATGGCGGCCGCCGAGGGGCGGGGCTCTGCCGCCCCGCCCCGCCCGGTCCGGGCGGGGGCACCGGGTGCTCCGGCCGTTGGCGGCCGCGCGTGCGCGGTGGGGCGCGGGACAGGGGCGAGGCGCACGGCGCGCGGCGGGGCGGCTGGCGCCGGGTGAGTTGCTGTGGGGAGAGGCCGGGCCGCGGCGGGGGAGCGGGGAGCGCCGCGCGTTCCGCCGAGCCGGCGCCCCCTGAGCACCGACCGGGGCTTGAACTTCGCCTGTGGCCGCCCCGAGAGGAAGAGTGAGCTGAGCTCTTCCTGCTGCTTCCGCCGGCGGCCCTCGGACCCGTCCCGCGTGAGGCGTCCCCCGGCGCGGGCGAGGCGGGTGTTAGTTACCCGTCGAGGCGTTCCTCCGCTTTGCTACCGCGTTGTTGTCTCTCTCTGAAAACACCTCCCTGCTGCCCGGGGTGCCGGCGTGGGCTGCAGGGCAGGGCGTGTTTTGGGCAGTGGGTTTGGCAGGAGGCGCGGAGCCTCCGCTCTGCGTGGGACTGCGCTGCGTGGGCAGAGCCCCCACTCGTGTATAGGGGGTTCAGAGAAGTTCAGATACTGGCAGCCCGGGGACACGTTTCTTTCCAAAATGCCTAGCCCTTCTAGACAGCTGGGGGGTGGAAACGTTTCTGCTGCGTTTTTTACCTGAGCGTATCAGTCACGTTCAGGCCATTAGGTTTAATGCTCATCTCTTAATTTGCACTTGCCGTTTCTCTGTAGCTGCTTGTTTGTCGCACGGTGCGGTGCAGTTCTCAGTCATCATTTCTGTGTGGTGTAGTGATAGACTGCGCTCTGCTGTGAGTGGTTTTCAACTTGAGAAGTTTAGTTTCTGCCAAAGCTAGTAAGACCAATAAGTTCATGGGGCGGAGAGGAGTGTGTGGGCTTCCTTGAAAATATCTGTCCTTCAGAGCAAGGAAAGCATCAAAAGTAGTTTCAGTTTTTTCTTGCATTAAAATAACTGGGGGTGTGGGCTGAACAATACTGAGCCCCTGAGGCAGGAGAAGCTGGTCTGTGTCAGGAAAAGCCCCGAGTATCCTAACGCTGTGATCAGGTGTAGTTGTGGTCGGCTGCTGGCAGCTTCAGTTTTTTCCTGTGTTTTAAATTTCATTTCCAGAGGTGGAAGTTAAGTTCTGTGATACTTTTTATCACAGACGCACAAAAAAAAAAAAAATGTACCAAAGCTCCTCAGTGTTTTAAGTGACATCTAAGGATGTCTGTCAGAAGTTGGAGGGAGACGTGGTTTTTGCTGGTTGGGTTGGCTTGCTGAGCTAAAGTGCTTGCAGAGCAGTCTGATCACTATCTCTTCATGGCTTGTTGGTCATAATAAACGTCAATATGCAGTATAGGCTGACTTCTTTACCTTGATATATCAACATAAACATTTCTTCTAAGTGTAATTGGTGGTGTACTTTAGAAGGAGCAGCGACTTTCACAGCTGACCAGTTTTGAATACTCTTCATGCACATTTGAGGCCAGCCTAATGTAGCAAAAGAATGAATTTGAAGAGCTGCTTCATTGTGTCTGTCTCTTTTTAACAGCTCTGATGACAAGTCACAGAGAATCAACAAAAGCAGATGGCTGGAGGTGGCTCTTGTTGCTTTGGGGCGTAGACTACTGAATAATGAAAGACTACAAGATAAGCACGTTAACACAGAACACAAAACATAACTTTGTGCTAAAGTGTGTTAAAACTTCATTTGGGAGAAGTTTGAAAAATTGTATTTTTTAAGCACTCTTTAAGTTCACTTATATACTTGATACTGAAAGTTCATTTTTTTTCAAGTGCAGGTACAAAGTTCCAAGTACAGTGATCAGATATGCTTTTAAGGTCATAATGTACCAGCACAGGCTTGCCTGATATATGTAATGCTCTGGCAGAACACTTGTGGAGAGGAAAAAAAACCAAAAAAACAAAAACAAACAAACAAACAAAAAAAGAACAAAACCAAGATTGTACTGCATATTGTGTGACATGCCAAAGGTGTGCTTAGTATAATGTTTTGAGCTAATTCATAACCACATTAAATTGAAGGCTGCCTAAACTTTAAAACCTGTTATGGACATATTGACTGAATCTTTTTGGCTGTTAGGGCTGTTTTCTGAAAGCTTATATACATTTCTACAGAATGTGTGTCACAAGGATTTAGCTTTCACGATGAAAGAATACTGATACCAACGTCCTGAGGAACATGAATTAGTACTGAATAACTGAATGTTGCGGGTTTTTTGTTAGTGCTGCAGTGAATGTTTTTTCCCCCTAACCTCTCCATCTTGTTAAATTAGATGTCAAGACTACTTAAAATTTTAGTCTTGCTGTGCATACTACTTTTTCAGGAGTATGGTGGTTGTCACTGCTTAGTTTGACACTCTGTAAAAGCCATGCACAGTATCATGATTTAGTCTCAAATCTGCCAGGAGCAGAACATCATCTGTGTAACCTGTATGCGTCAGTCTTCAGGAATAACTTTTTAAACACAGTTGCAGCTTAAAATTTCTGTTTTCCTGGGGGCTTGTCTGATTTTAGAGTGATTTTTATTTTCTTAAGGGTGTTTTTGGGAGGCTTTTTGTGACATTCTCTAACTTTTTTTCAGAGAGCTGGGAAGTGACTGTAATGAGATCAGTATGGCGTTCATTTCTTTTGATTTGGCAGACTAATCCTATAGTATATTTAGTACTTGCAAATCCAGTATTTTCTTTTCAGCTAAACAGTGAACCACAAATACTAATTCACAGTTTCTGGGATGCTGCACCAATATGTTGAGGTATGGTAGGAAGAGAGACTTGACAAATCTGGACCTTTTGGTAATGCACTCTAAGGTGAAGGTCATTAGAATGCCAGCAGTGGCAGTGCAGTTTTTCCGCAACTGTCTCCTAGTGTTGTGAAAAAATCAGGGGAGTTTAAATCATGCCACTCAGAAAAGGACTGTGAGATTTGTTCTTTGCTTAGCATAAATACAGGCATGTATTTTCAATTCACATGATTATTGGGGAATTTATTTTGTGTGTTTATGAAAAAGTAATCTTCGTTTTGAATGTCTGAAACAAATGCATGGTTCATGTGTCATTAAATTAGAAACTGCAGGAAAACAAAGAACCATCTGGAGACTTAGTGGCGGGGGGGGGGAGGTTGAGGTTTCTGGTTAAATGTACTATCAACGCAGGAAAAATTATAAAGCTACAAAAGGAGGCAAAGTGTGCTGGGCATTTTGTCTGATTGTTTTGTTTTGTTTCGGATTTTTTTTAAAACCATTTTCTTTCCATAATTAGGCAAAGCACCAGAATGAAAGACATGGACAATATCAAAACTGTAAAGAAAGAATGGTAGGTGCCGTTTCCCCCCACCCCCTTTTTCCTTTTACTTTCCTATTGCTGTCTGTATCCTGTCATGACTTTTCAGCCTTTATGTTAATTTTTTTTCTGTATCTACCTATTCCACATATATTTTTTTTTAAACTTCAGTATATTGTTTTGCTAAAAGATTTTTCACATACCTGGAATGTTTTCTAGATGCAAGAAGCTGCATAGATATTTTAATTTAAAATAGAAAGGCAGCCTTATGAATTGCTAACTCACTGTGCACCTCTACATTTTATATGGAGGTACTTGGTTTTCCAGTTATGTTTCCAGATAAAGCATAGTGAATACCTAGATTAACACTTCAAGTTTTTGTTCTATTGGAAAAGTAAAATGGGGACAGCATACTTCTGAATTTTTTTCTTTAATTTGTTGAGTTTTTCTTTTGTTTAAAGATGTTAATCTGTAGGGATTCTTAGTATTGCATATATGTGCTGCAAACAATTCAGTTTTATGCAAATGTATCTAATTACCATTCAAGTAAGCATTGCAGCTCTTGAATTCAATGCAGAGTTTTATGTAAAACTGGATATTTTTCAAGAGCTGAATTTTTTTTTTCTGAATTGCTTAAAATAGACTTTTCTGAATCTCCAACAAGAGTAACTCCCGCAATGTTTACTAAAAGCTGCATAATCCTCTTACTATGCAAAGAACCTAAACTGAAAGATAATCATTCATTCTGGTTGCATATTTCTGCATTTTGATTGGTGAAAATCTAACAAACAGCTGGCACGTATACAGAGTTCTATAAAAAGATATGGTTGATGCATCTACTGTAGCAGTCTCCACAGTATTGAAGTCTTCTATTGTTTTTCTTCAGTGTGTTCAAGTGGTTTTGAGTCACTTGTTCTTGAGTTTCTCTAATGCACTTTCAAAGACAGTAATGGTGGTTCTGTGATGGTGCTGGGAATGTGGAGGTTCAAGTGGGGGTGGGGGAGTAAATCCTAGGGCAATTTTCTTGTATGTGTTTTTTAAAACTTACAGCAAAGGAAGTCACCCAATCTTGTATCATGGAAATGCTTTAAAGGCGGCCTTTCATTGGTGTTCAGTTAAAGGCTTGATGGTCTGAATTAGAAGTATGAATCATCTTACTTGCATTCCTTGCTCAGATACCAAGTTTAGAAGCTTCTGCATAGATGAATTCACATTTTCTACTGTCATTCTTTAACTTGTGCTTCTGAAGTGCAAATAATAGCAGTCAGAGATTTGTAAGAAGTTTCTAGAAAAGGCACAATGCAAAATTGACTTGATGTTTTGTAATAACCAAGTAAGCTCGGGTGCCTTTTATACCTCTTGGTACTGCACTTCTAGGGTAACTGCTTGTCTCCTAATGTGTTCTCCAAGGCATCATTTTTACTTATGTCTTTGTTCTGCAGGATGTGTAAATCAGGAACTGATGATCAGATATTGAATGGTAGGGAACAAAACCGTGACTACTTTGTAGATAATCTTTTTGAAGAAGCTCAGAAGGTTGGTGCTATATGTATGCCCCCAACTACAGTCAAGAACCAGGTAGGCAGTAAAGAAAAAATACTCACAGTTAACATAACAGCACTTCAGGAGTACTCTGGAAAACAAATGCAAGCAGTCCAGCAGTCTTACCCAGTACATCTGTAAATAAATGCATGCAGAATTCAGACAGCAGTAGGAACAGTCTCGCATCTCATAGTCAACCAGGCCTGTGCTTCCATGCTTCTGGCTCTTGCTATTTAATAGTGGTTTTAATGTTGTTCTAGGACTTAGGCTGGCATTGGCTAATGCACTTCTGCTTTATTAGTAGGAGACCATGCTGATCATCAGGTGCAAGGAATGACAACTATTACATAAGAAGTTGTTTAAAGAATTACAGCCTTTTTATGCAGAGGCATAGCACTTTTTTTTTTTTCATGTACTCTCATTTGTGTAGTTGTGGTAATAGTGGGATGTCTGGCATGAGTTTGTATCTCAGTGATCCTGCCCTTTTCATATTTTTCTGTTACTCCCTAAAGACTGGTAAAGGACTAGAGAAAAGGCCATGTAGAACAAAGATGTCGAGGAGAAATTTGGAGTAGGTGTTGCTGGAAATTATGTTCACGGATCCCCAACTGAGCCTGGGAGAAAAGGAATGTCAGGAGCAATACCTTAAATTGTGGTTCTGAAAGAATGTTCCATGCCAGTACTTGTGTCAATGTCTAAAGGGGAAGTTGGTATGGGATAGTCCATGTTAAACTTCCATACTGGCTCACTATAGAGGAACCTTATTATGAGAACTCCTTTCATATGCATTGATACAATGAGACACAAGACTTCTTAATGGAATCTAATCTTGCTGAGTGCTGCGTACCTTTTTGACAGATTATCCAACCAAAAGAGAAAGAATTATATTCAGTATTTTGCACATGCTGTGTATTTATGTAGCAATCATCTCCTAGTAAGTCAAACTGCAAAATAGGGGGGGGGGGGGGGGAAATGAGCAAGTACTACCAACAAACTAATTTCTATCTGAGGTGAATTCTGCATTTGTACCTGCTTCATGTACCTTGTATGTGGCCAAATTTCTGTCAAGACAAGGTTATTTTAAGGATCAGACCTGGATGGTGAAATGTGTCCTTAAATGTTACAATGCATAAATATGAAAATGCAATCCAAAATATATCCCTGCTAAAGTTGGAGAGATATCAGTCAACAGTGTGAAGGTTACAAGTCTAAGTAGTAAATGTTCTCTGACAAAGTTAATTACTGAGAATTTAATTTTTCATTCCCCAACACCAAGGTTTTGAATATTCCCAGAAATTCCAGGGTAATATAAAAGTATGACTGTCTGAAAATAAATTTTCTGATGCTTGCTGCATTTTGTGAGTGAAAGGCTTCTGCATGCATTATCTCAATGGCTTGCTTTCAGAAAATCCTCCTGAATGATCAGAACAAGGCTTTACCCTAATAAATCCCCATCTGGACTATTCTGGTAGCTGGTGTTCCAACACCAGGCATGTGTGCTCTCAAATTAGCTCTTGAAGAGTTGCAGCTGGCTGGGATCTTCCAGCTTTCCACCCCCCCACACCCCCCTGCTGCTGAATTGAAGGAGTGTTCTTGACCTAGGAAAGCAAAACGATTGGGAGAAGGTTTATTTCTAACCCTGATTGACACAAGATACTTGGAAATGTCACTTACCGTTGCAGTTGCTATGCCTGTTGGCGCAGGGCTGAAACAGATTATAGTGAGCCTTCTCTCTGTTTTTAGTCCATGCAGTGGATGATTTACAATCACAGGGTACTGTGGGTATGTCAAGTTTGTTTTACATCAGTGTTATAATGAGAATTGTTCTTACTTTATAGGTTGATGTAATCATTAAACTTTGGAAAAATGGGTTTACAGTAAATGATGGTGAACTTAGGAGCTACACTGATGTTGCAAACCAGCAATTCTTGGACTCGATTAAAAAAGGGTAAGTGAGTTTTGTGTTCTTAATCAGGCTGAGTTAATGTGCTCTGGATAGCACTTAGCTTATGCTCTAAATTTTTTACATAGCTGCTTGGTTTTGCTGCACTGCAGTATCCCTGTGGGAGCGTAGGCCACTGCCTGTCTCGGTTCCTGCAGTGCTAATAGCTGTTTTAATATCAACAGGTTTAATACAGCTTTGAGTTGCAGTAGTTATACAGTTGCTGACAAAATAGATAAAAGTGAGTGTTGGTAGTGGGCACAGCAGGTGCAGAATGAAATAAAGACTAAATCAGAGTGCACAGTAAAAGCTACTGATGAAATGGTACTTTGACTAACAAACTCAATGCACCAAGTGGTTGAGCATTTCTGATTTTATGGTCTTTGTGTTCTTTTCATTGTTGAAAAGCCTTAAATGGATACAGTTGCTCCATGTAACATCAAGAAACTCTGATCAGTCTTAAATTTCAGACATTTTTCCTAGTATAAACTTGATGTTTCGGTCATTTGTGTGTATATAGCAATCTTACTTTTATCCTCATTAAAAATTAGCATGGTATCCTGATTTCTGCTACTGTTTTCAGTGTTGTTTTAAAAAAAGCAGATTGACCATACAAGCCAATGTAGTTTTGAGCATTTAATTTGTAGTCAGTTTCCTCACCCCATACAACTGGAGAGGAGAATATAATTTTATGACGAATATAGTATCTCCTTTTCAAGTATGTGAAATTACTAAGCCATTGTATTTTTTTGTTTTTTCCATACTTTGCTAGCCCATCACAAATACTGACTCTACATTCTATTTCTCCTCTATGGCTGTGACCTGTGTTAGTTGTAGTAGCAATTAACCACACTGTTTAAAGCCCTTTGCTTTCTTAATATGCATGCACCAAAAGTTGGCCAGCTTTCTTCCACTGTTTGCTTGAGAAGATGCTAATTACAAGATGGTTCCTGCATATTCGTTGATGGTAGAGAAGCACTTAGTACAGCCCCTGTGCCAGCTGAGCCCCACCACCTGAAAATGTAGTATCTGCATCAGAGCTCATAGACAAAGGCATTGCTGTGTTCTGCTTAACACAAATAAAGCATTACCAAGGTGGTGTGCTACTGCACTAAAGAGTAGTTATTAGTGATGATCTAATTTTTAGAAGCCGAGATTCGTGTTTATTTGCAATTAAACACATTGTGTCTAAACTCAGTTCTTTCTCTTTAAAAGCCAATTTTATTTTTTCTTCTTGTTTTACTATGGGGGTAAAATAATTGAACCTTTTGAGGCAATGTATGGCAATACTGAACTTCCTACACATCATGTGCTTTGAAGTGGTAACTGCTGAGTAAATTTAAACATCATTCAGCAACTTGCATGATGACATATTTTTTTATTGTTCAATTGCTAGTTAATTTTCAGTTCAGGAACTTGAAGTTGTTTGTATGTCATACACTTCACAGGTATTTGCTAAGAGTTAAGTCGGTTTTCTTAAAAGCATCATCCTTGAAAGGATAAACAAAAAGCAGGTATTAATCATTAATCTATTTTGTATACTAAAAACAGTATAGTGGTTCTTTTTCTGACTTTTTTTTTTTCTTAAGGGAACTGCCTTTTGAGCTACGAAAAGTTTTTGATAAGGAGGAGGTAGACGTGAAAGTGGAAGATAAAAAAGATAAGGCGTATTTGTCATCGAAAAAGCCAATGTTTCATCCTTTTTCTGGGCATGGTTACAGATTAGGAAGGTGAGTAGTCTGATGGAATCTGTGATTGAGTAGCTGAAGGGAACTATACCTATGATAAAGGATCTCATCATTTGGGTTCAAAGTGACCTGTGGATTTCTCTAATCCAAGCTCCTGCTCAAAGCAGGGTCAGCTGTGGGGACAGATAAGGTTGCTCAGGCTTTTATGCAGTTGGGCTTTGAAGTCTTGCAAGAGTGGAAGCTGTGCAGCTTGCTTCAGTGCTGGACTGTCTCATGGGAAAGAAATTTTTCCATATATCCAGTCTAGACATCTCTTGTTTCAATTTATGCCCTCTATGAAGAGCCTGGCTTCCCCTGATGATGCCCTGTAGACTCTGACAGGTTGCTGTTAGGTGTCCCCCCCCCCCCCCCCCAACACTATCTCTTCCACAGCCTGAACAAGCCCCTCTCCTCCAGCCTCTCTTTGTAGGGCGAATGCTCTAGCCTGTGGCCATTTTGGTGGCCCTCCATGAAACTGTCTCCTGTTTATCTTTTTTTCTTTTATTTTGGGTACCAAATCTGAATGCAGTATTTAGGTGTGTTAAATGAGTGCTGCATGGGGGATAATCGGCTCCCATGCTCTACTGGCAGTGTTCCTGTTAATACAGCCAGGATGCTGTTGGCTTGCTTACTTCAAGGTCTCAATATTAGCAGAACTGTTTCCAGCTGAGAGGCCGTCACTCTTCCATGAGCTCTATGTGCAATACTTTGTATGAGAAGTATGACAATCCTATAAAGGGAACTGAAGAAGTAAGAGGTTATTTCACATTCTCTTAAAATTCCTCAGTATTTAACTAGGCATTTATTGCAGTAAGACATTTTAGTGTGTTACAGTGATCCTCTTGCCTTTACTCCATGACTCTCTTGCAGTTGGAGAGTGGCAGCCACTAATGACAATGCTAAAACTGTTTTTGATTTATAACCAAACAATATTGTATTTTGGAAGGCTGTCATAGAGAGGCAGGCCAGGAGTTCATGTATTTGATCCCTGTGACTTTTGCTTACTCCAGCCAAATTATCTGCTTCACATATTCCTGTTGTGTAAGACATATGTGCCTATAAAAGCAGACTTCAGCCTAGGGAACAGAACATGTTCAGTGACCAGGATCCTACAGGAAGCCTTCACAGGTGGGACTGTTTAGTGACCTACCACCTGGGGTTAGTAGACTGTGGTGAAGCCTTAAGAGAACAGCTTGTTTTGATTAAGTGGAAAGGGCTTGCTGCTAAGGCCCAGTGCTTGTGCTGAGGGAGAGTGTGACCTGGATAGGAATGGATGAGGCAGGGGAAGAAGATAATAACGTGCAGAGTAAGAGACTGAGAACGTTAAAGGATGAATGGTCCAGGCTGCCTCAGAGAAGCATGTATCTGTTTTATCAGTTTCATCTGTTTCTGTAGCACAGTTCATTCAGATGCTACATGCTTGAGTAGATATGGTCAATAGGGAAAATCTTCCCTTGAGAGATGGATGAGATTCTGCAAGACTTGCTTTTTGGTAGCACTGAAATTCTGAGCAAACAAGGGTTAAGAACTTAACCTTATTTTATCTACAAGTAACCTGTATATAGCAAAGGCAAAAAGATCTTCAGTGTGCTGGGTTTCAGCTGCTAACCAGTGCTAAATGGTAGGTTGTTCAGTTGCTTGTCATGCCTACAGTAATGATCTTGCTTCCTGATAGGTGAGTTAGGTCCTGAAAACACGCTGTTCTGTGAATTTGAGGTCTTGTACATTGAGACATCCTACAATTTGCTCAGCTTTTTTTTTTTTTTTTTTTTCCTTTATGAACTGGACAAAATGCCTTTTTTTAAAAATCTACTCTTGCTAGTCTATCTAGTGTTATGCTGTCATAGCCTTTTCTTTAAAGATGACTAAATATTTTTGCTGATGTTGGAAACATGAGCTGTAAGTGCTCTTACTCCATAAAATAGTTCTCGCTTCCTGATGTTAATAGATGTCCATTGCATACATATGCTACTCTTTCAGCAGAAAAGCTTTGTGAGGAAATAGTAGCACTGTCTGAGAGCTGTAGCAAGTTTTAAACTATAGAACTCCTTTTCCATAGTTGCATTTATGTGCTTAAGCAGAAACAAGAAAGGCAAATGACTGAACAGTTTACTTCAGCTTATCAGAAAACCATTTTAAAATAGTCTATAGATTTTCTGCCAGTGTTCCCAGATGGATGGATTATGTGGTGGATGACCGCTGTGAAATCAGTCTGACTGGCTCATTAAAAGTTTTGTTAGAGGAAAAATGGAGGTACTAGAAATGATACATTTGTTGATTAACTCAGATGAGCTTAATCCTCTCCCTTTTTGTTGTACAGGAGAAACAAATGAGACTTGGACTTTTCCAATATACCTTATGTATCTGTATTATAATGGGTATATTCTGTTCTATCTGCCACTGTTCAGCCACATTTAACAATTTGGGATTATAACAAGATTTGCAACTGCACTTTTCTATTAAGTTTATCAATGCATTTTAAAGACTGCCTCAGAAGCATGTTAATTAAATGACTGAAATCCCTTCTAGCAAAGTGGTCTTGCTCTATAACCTCATTGAGGTAAAACATTGTGTCAAGCTTCTTCACCATAAGTCAGGGTAAAAGCCCAAGATTTAAGTATCATGCCTTTCTTTTCAGAAAATTGACAAGAAGCTCTTATGTCTCTTCGATCTGTAGTTTACTTCATCTTCTGATAATCTTATAGAAGGAATAAGCCTTTAAAATGGGTGATAATGCTTTGATCTCAGGCTGATAAGAGATTTAAGATTCTCAGTTTGTGGTTTTAGTCAAAGCTCCCACCACTAGATGGCTTTACCTGTCAGTTCTGTAAGAGCAAAGTTAATGAGTATAGAAATGCTTTAAACCTTGGTGAATATACATCTTACTTTCTCTTGCAGCTTGCTTAGCGTGTTGGCTTCGGTTTCACACGTACTTGCTGTTGAAAGAATCCTCTCCAGTGCCTACCACAAACTCTGAGATGTGACCGTGAGGGAAGTTGGCTTGAGAATGACACCAAAATCTGTATCCATTCGAGACAGTTGTCTGAACTACAGCTGTGACTGATGGGCTAAAATGTAGTTCAGCCCAGGCTAAGCCAGACGCCTGGCAGCTGCACAGCTGACTACCTCTCCAGCCTCTGCTGTACTGGAGACAGCTAGCTCACACACAAGTGCTTATACTTCAGTGTCTGAACCTGGAACTGAAAGCCACTGGTCAAGTAGACAGCAAAAGCTGATCATTGCTGGACTGAAGTATGACTTCAACTTTGTGGGTTTTTTTTTTACTCTGCTCCCAAGACTGTTTAACATTATCTTGCTGGTGCTCAAACTTCTTTTCCAGATTCAAACATGAACAGAAGCTGGGTGTGAGATAAGTAAATCAGTAGAGGCAGGTGGGTGATAGTAAGTCACCTGTACTTGGAGTACTAGAATGTTTTACAGCTGTGCCTCTTAGGATCTGTCAGTGCCAAGTTCTTGTGCCCCAGCTGATTTCTGTGTAATGCATAACAGTCAGTTCTGTGCCCCTCTTCTGCCTCCAGTTGTTGTGAATCTCCTATCACTCACTTGGGAATGAGATTCCTTGATTCCTTTTGCAGAGTTTCAGTAGAAGAAATAAAAAGTGCCTCTACTAGCTGATAGCTGGGAAGTCAGGGCACTTAACGAGGCAGTGCATGATAAGAGGTTTTGAAATACCTCAGACTGAGAAGAACTTGAGCCCAAGACTCTGACTTTATTAGCCTGAATATGTTAAGTCATTAGTCATCTTTGTTTTAATAAATTGGTTGTGACTTTTCAGCTTTATGATTAAACTAAGACAGGTACAAGAACATAAGGATGCAAGGATGGTCTTTGTCCATGAAGCAGATGTAGTACTGTTAAGACTGTTATTCTATGGCCATTGATTACCAACTTCTCTCTCAAGAAACAGTAACTCATCAATTTTCTGTGCAGTTTTTCCCCAAACCACCATGAAGTGTTCATGTAGTCAGTGACCACAGCTGAGCTCAAAGAAGAAATGGTAACTCCTTAAATCATTGCTGTTGTTTTGCAAGCAAACATGTGGTTATACTTAGGTGAGCTGAGGATGTGCCCATTGGATCAGGCCTTATGATGACTTAAACAGTGCATGCTGCACAAGCTTAGTCCTGAAAGAAGCACTAAGCTCTAAATGTTTCTTCAAAATAAAAAGTTTTGCAAGTAACTTTTTTTTTTTTTTTTTAGAAGACCATGCACTTGGACTGAGGTTCCTGTATTCTGTCAAATCATTTTATGGATATTTGCCCTTATAGTAGGGTCAGCTGTCAAAAGTGCCTTGGAAAAAAAAAAAAACAAAATCCAAGTGCTATGTGCATCAACCTGGATTTTCACCTTAAGTCAATTCTTCTGATAGATGAGTAATGCTTCTAAGCTGAAATAGATGATGCTGAGATCTAAATCAAGGCTAACAGCATTCACTTAAATTGAATTACTGTAATCATATTACAGTGAAAATTAACATTGGGTATGCAAATCCAGTACTCAAACCCCTTAAAGTTTCACCTGTGTGATTAGAGTACAAAAAATTAATGAAGAATCTTCAGGCTGTTTCATTTCTTGTGTATTCATATTTAATCCTTTGATATTTAAGTTTCCTTCCATCTTGTAAAAATGTTTAACGTGAGCAGACTGATATTCTTTAGCATGTTGAAATCTGCAAGAGAAAGTAGTGACATACAGTTAAAAAAAAAAGCTGACATTTATGTCAGTATTCTTGTACTTCTTTTTTTTAAAAAAAAAAGTCATCAGAGCACCCTGATACAGGACAGAAAGCCCCAGAAGCAGAGGTCTGGAGAGAGATTCAAGCTTACATGTGTACGCAGATGGCATAACCTCATATGGCTTTTCTTTTCAGTGCTACTCCAAGGATAATCTCTAAAGTAAGAGATGATCATCAAGGACCTGCTGACAAAAGACACCTGCCTTTAGTACCCTTAAATGATTTGGAGCCTATCACTAACATCCAGATCTGGTTAGCTGATGGGGAAAGGATAATTCAGAAATTCAATGTTTCTCACAGGTAGGATTTGTTATAGCACTGTGATACGTATTTGCATCTGAATTATTTGTCCTATGCCTGTACGTGTGATAAGTCTCTAATTTCTGTGAATAATCTACCTCCTCAGTTCATTTAACATCGGACTGCTATTCAGCTGTATCTAGAAAAGCTCCTTTCAAATTCTGAGAAATCTTTTAGCTGACAAGAGAGGAGTGTAAGAGGAATGAGAACTGATGTTAATAGCACATAGCTAAGCATAAATGAAAATCTGAGGAAACTGTAGGAGTTCTTTGTAGGTTAGCGGAAGTCAAAGTGTATATATTGCTCATTACTAGAGGAAACAGCTTTTAAGATCACAAATATCTCACAAAATTACTACATGTGGAGCAAATGGCTTAGTAAAAAGCCTGCTAGTCATTGGGCATAAACAGCACCACAGCTGGGAGCTGGAGGATATGACAGAGTTGAGCCAGAGAAACCTCTAGTGAGGGCCAGAGGCAGTGCCCTGCCTAGGGGAGGGTCATCATCTGGATGTCAACATAGACAGAATAGAATGCATCCAGTGTGTCTAATTCTTAATTAGTGAGATTTTCGGTTCCCAAAGAGGCTTATGAATGGGGATAATGTCAGAAGGTGTCAGTCCAGCATATGTATGCAGGAGCTTTGAGAAAGTAGGATTAACTGTTTAACATTAAATTGTAGAACTACTGCCTTTAGAGACCTTTCTCAAAGTTGTAATTTGAGAAATTACTCCAGTACTATACAGTCACATCATATGAAAAGGGTATGTTAGCAGTGCTTCTCTGTGAAGCAGTTTAAAATGATCACAGATTTAATACAACCCAGGTTGCTGTCAAGATAAACTGTGTATGTCTTTGTGGCTAATCAGAAGAAAAGCTCAGCAGTTGAAGGTTAATGACTGTAACTTTAACTTGTATTAATTTATTACTGTTAATGGCCTGAGGTATGAACTGAAACACTGTTGCAAGGTACTGCTGAAGGATCAACTGCTATTTTAATTAAAAATACTTCATTAAAGGTCTTTATCTTAATTATTTCAGGTTTCACACATTTAAGTATATTTAGAAGCTTTTTGTCTTCATGGTAAATAGCAGTTTGAACAGCTGCTAAGTGCTTTTAGAGTGGAAAAAAAAATAGTCAGAGATGAACAGAACTAGAGCCTTACTGATGCAATGCTCTTTTTCAGGTAGTTTGTGTTAAATATTCTATCATAACATACCCTCTTACCACAAGACCAGCATGTTTGTGCTGTATACAGTATTTGTGTATGACCTAATAAGAAATAGGGGGAAATCCTTTTAGAGTACTTATCCTTAAGCATTATGATTGCATGTATAGTAATCCTTTCAGTGGAGAAGCAGAAAACAGTCAATTATTTGTTAATTAAACTGTAGGTAAATAACCTGTAGGATATATACTGCAGTGCTGCCTGGATAAATTGATTACTTTTACCCTTTTGCAGATAGAATGTATATATGCCACAGTAACTGTTACTTTAGATATGACTTGATCGCTGATGACAAATTGAAGTTACAAAACTGAAGCAAAAGTGCAGGTAGCATAATACTGCAGTGTGGGGATTTGAGGAGACTTGAGAGTGAAGCGACTAGCAGAGCAGTGCTGTAGGAATAGCACTCACTCTTGAATTGTGTCCTTTCTTGAGCAGTTGCTAAGTTTGTGTGACCCTGGAGCATTGGGTACGGAGTCTGGAAAGGAACTTGTTCATCCTAAAGCAGATAGCTGGTGACTAATTGCCCAGGTCGCTCTTGGGAACTGATGAACTTTCATATAATGCACAAAGACACCTGTAAATATCCAACCAAAAACGTATTCCTGCTTGAGGTTTTTCAGGCTCTAGGCTTATAAGGCCAAGCACTGTCTCTTAGTTGAGGCCTGCATGCACAGAAATCAGATGCTGGCTATATCTGTCATAGTAAGTATGGCTAAGGCATGAAAATTTGGTCATCTGTGCTGCTAAACTGTTAGCATGACTTTCCTCCAAGCCAACTGACATTTTCTCAAACAATATCTAAGCTTGGTTCAGATGCTAGCTCAGGTCATGGGCCATTCCCAGGAGACAATACACCCCATGTGCTACGCTGTGCATGGGAGAGAGGAAGGATGAGATTAACAATTTGCCAGTAGCCAGAGTCTACCAGTTGGCCTCAAGATCAGAGAATGGGCATTGAAACTATGTTTATTTTACTGTAGATATATCCTGTCATCTTCATCTTCTAACTAAATTGGCCAATTCTGATTCTTCCACAGCAGAACCTTTGTCTTGCTTACTTGTTACAAGGTTCTTCACACCTTAATAGGCAGCTTGAATTTGTAATGAATTCACTGTTGCACCTGCTTTGGTAGGAGGAGACTATATTTAGACCTAGTTAATTCATAAGCTATCCAGACAATTTCTGCAACCCCTTTTTCTTTATTATTATGGTTCTGCTACATGTACTGCACGCTGGAGGCATCTTTATTCTAGTTCTTGGCTACAGAAACCTCAGGTAAGAGCTCCACCAGCTGGTTAAGGAATGGTAGGCTTGTGTAACTATGGTCTGAACCATAGTGAAGTATTTGAGTGCTCAGAATAAGATCCTCATCCTTTTTCCCTTGGTACTGCTCTCAGAGCATGCAAACGTTGGCCCTTGCCTTCCAAGTGGATCAGGCACTTCAGGATACCACATCATCTATATTCCTCCATTTCTATGCCATCATCTATTACATGAAGTGGGTGTCTCATTCTCTTCTTGTGGTGATAATGTGTGTTGTGCATATGGTATGTGCTGGGATTGGCTCTCACATGCTCTAATGCTGAGTTTTTTTCTCTTCAGAATAAGCCATGTGAGAGACTTCATAACAAAGTATCAAGGATCAGAGGCAAGTGTTCCCTTCACACTGACTACTTCACTGCCACTTCAAGAGCTGCAAGATGAGACACTCACGCTAGAGGAAGCAAAGTTGCAAAATGCTGTTGTTGTTCAGAGACTTCGGAAAACAACTGAACCTTTCAGACTCTTAGTGATAAAAGCACCTGACAATGACTATAAAACTGCTGTTACACCTAATGGACAGCTCAAGAATGAGCAAAAAAATGCTATCAAAAGTACAAGATCAAATTAGCTTTTAACTGGCAAAAAACTACATGCAGGTGGAACTAGACAAAACCAAAAATGTAACCAGCAATATCTGGATGCACTCTTACCCTCATATACTGTGCTCTTAGAGAATAAAATGTGTGCTGTGCTATCATCTCCTATAATAGAAGTATTTTCAACTAAATTCAGTAGTCAGAGCCTGGCTATGTAATGCAGCAGAGATAACTGTACAACAGGTCATCCTTAGAATTTCCTTAGCTTCTTAGTTCTTTAGAGCGTATGTAGGGAGAACAGTTCTCTGAGACTTAATTACTACTGATAGCACCTTTTGCACTTTGGACTAAAGTGAAACTGAACTGGTTGGTTTCACTTACATTTCAGTGTAAGCTGCTGCAGTTTGCATTCTTCTTACAGTAATCTGTAGGCAACAGATGCTGCAGGGAAGCTCACATTTGAACTCTTAACTAACTTGAAAATCTTCAATATCAGTATCTTCAGGATTTAACTTTTATCACAAGATTTGCAGTGTAATGTTCTATCAAGTCTTCACATGGTGGTAGGAGCATGTGTGAGCAGATAGAAATGAGGTAGTCTGGTGCATACTGCATATGAAGTGCCTCAAAGTGAACTCTGAAGGAATTGTTACTGCCAATGGTTGAAGTGGTTTGTGCATCTCTTCTGCTCCTACGGGTCTTACAGATAGGGTGATGTTAAACTACCTAGCTCATTAGTACAGAGATCTACTTTTAGCCTTGTCACAAAAACTTCAGCTCTACTGGAGATTACCATACAGGAATAGTGGTTTAGAGGGACACAGCTGTCTCTGTACTATGTATCTGTCCCTGTCCTGAACTGGCCAGCAGATTAAGACACTAATTGCATGTGGCCAAGTTTCAATGATGTTGAAAATCCTTATTTGAAAACAGGCTTCTTCCCTTCTGCCCCCAACCCCATTTCCATCCAAATCTTTTATTTTGCTATTCATGTATTTGAGGCATAAAATCTGTAGTCAACTATTCCATGTTTTGCTAAAGGAGAAATCAACATAAAGACTAAATATTTTGTACTGTGTTTGCTAAGTAGCATGTGGGTTTGTGAACAAAACTAGTCTCTAGGTGAGACTTGTCCTGGGGCCTTTAGTAAGCGCCAACTAGTTTGTGCTACCTATGCAAATGGATGATTGTTGGGGTTTTAATTCTTTTGCATGGTTAAATTAAAGATGTGTTTGGGATTTCCTGGTTTTGTTTTAAATAGAAAATTACTTCACTGGGGTGACTTGAATTCTATCTAAACCCCTCAGTTTGCAGTTTCCTGAACAGTGAATTTTATTAATCAGTGCTTTTGAATTTGTCTTAATGTAAAACTAAGTATTAGAAAACCACACATGCTTGATTGTAAGCGCAATTGTTCTTACCTAAAAAGTGCATGAAATGTCAAAGTAGCAGTATACTATTCCTGAATTCGCAACATAGAAATTCAAAGAAATAATTTATGTAAGACTGATTGAAACTGAAGGGGTGTGGGGGGGTCATATTTTAAGGTAGGTAAATCCATTTTGTTTGTTACCAAAAGGTGTTTTTTGAAAGGAGCAGTAAGTAATATATCAGTGTTGATTCATGTCTGCTTCTGATATTTTAAGAGACTGGATAGCTTGACTCTGTCTGGCTATATATTGTGCTTGACTGAAGTCAGCTGTTTCTGGCTACAGCTTTGGTGTATTTGAGTGTCTGTTTGCAGTTTGAAAGTGTCATGATTTTAATTACAAAATGAGAGCAAATCTTTAAGAAGTCAGGAGTGATGCTGACTGCACTAATCCTGTGTTAGACTAGAAAATGCCTTTAAAAAATGGCAATGAACTGTGATTGGCTAACTTCCTAATTTGGAGAAAATCTTTGGAATGAATACAGGGCTCTCCTAAATCTAATTGGTTTTAGTCAATTTGTAAAGATTGATTAGCTACCTGTAGTGTCTGGACAGCCTGATCTCTTGCTCAGCGCTGTAGACGGCTATCGTGCATTGGTCAAACAACAGTAAAACTAGCTTGATCAATGCTTGAGTTTGTGAAACACACAAATGCTATCAGTTATTCATTGTTTCTTCACAAGCCTTCACTGTTTTGAGTAAAGCCTGTGTATTAACATAATTTACAGCAAAACTGAAATAGCCTAGAAAAGAACAAAGAAAGGAAATGTTTTCTGTAGTTCCTTCGTGAAGAAACATGCAAATGCAGGTGGTAAAGATTTAATGTGTTACAAAGATGTTATATGAAGAGAAAAAGAACCTACATGTTGAATTTGAATGTTACATGCATACCTTGTATCTAGCTTGGTATTTTACAATGAATTCTATATTGGGGCTAAGGGACCGAGCAGTCCACCTTTGTTTTGAAGCCCATCTGGCCTCGGCTTCTCCCTAAAGCCTGAACCCTTGGAGCCTAAAAGCTTCAGAGAGTTTTCAACAAGGCCTATTAAGGTCACAATTTCAGTTTTGCGTTGAAGGTCTTTTTAAGAAAAAAAATTTAATGTCTCGTTCTTTCAGAATTTTGCGAATTTGTTGTAATTGTTCTTGTCAAATGAGGTTGTGCAGGATTTGCGTATCAGTACTTAATGGTGTAGTTTGCAGTGGCAGTCCAATACCGACCGAGTGATCCTGTCAACAGCAGAGCCAGGAAGCCCTGTGTGTATAGATTAGTTACCATCTTCCCAAGACGAGCAGATCACTGAGTCCTCATGAGCTGCTTGGTTTGTTTTTAAACCCTCTTCTCTCAGAATGTCTCCCTGCTGAAAGAATTTGTACTTCAAAATGCAATTTTTTTTTTTTTTTTTTTTTTTCCCTCTGATGCGGAGCATGCTTGAAAGACCATTCTCCTGCGGGCAGTGGGGTGGCAGTGATAAAGTTGCAGTGCCTAAATAACGGTGCCGGCTCCAAGGCCTTTGAGGGCGGCAGCAGCAGCTCTTTCCACAGCGTGCTTCCCGGGTCAAGCCCGGGTTTTGTGCGGTCCAGATGACAGCATTGCTGCCTGGCGCGGTTGCAAATTCATATAAATCGGAAAACAGTCATCAAATGGATGGATTTTGGATTAAAACAGCCTCAGAAGCCTTCTCCGCCTTACACCCGGGCATGAAGCACCGGGGCGGGAACAGCGGCCGCGGGGCGCGCGGTGCCGCTGAGGGGACCGGCCGGGCGGGCGCTGCGGCGGCCTCTCCCCGGGCGCTCATGCCGGTTAGCAAGCTGCTGGAACAATAAATCCCGGGCTTTACCTCACGGGCGGTTCCCGCGGCAGCCCCCGCAGGGAAACAGCGCGGGCAGCGTCGCTGCTCCTGCCGCCGGTAGCTGCCCCGCGCCTCTCAGTGGAAGCGGCGTGAGGGGGCAGCGGGTGAGGGGCAGTTTCAGCCGCACTCAGGGCGGGCTCGGCGGTCGCGGCCGTGTAGCCCTCGGCCGAGACGGGGAGAGGGCTCCTCTCGCGGGGAATATATCCTCTCCCGAGCCTGGAGGGCTGCGATAGCGCCTTCGCCCCCGCGAGGGGGTGGGCGGGCGGACGGATGGACGGACACCACCCGCTCGCCCTCTCCTTTCCTCCGCCGCGCCGCCCCGCCCCGGGCACTCAGGTGTTGGACGGGGGTCGGTTGTCCCCTTCGCCATGGCGGGGGCTGCAAAGGACACCCCGGAGCGCCCGGCGGAGGAGGTACGGGGCTGGGGAGGGGGAAAGGCGGCCGTCGTGGTGCTTGGGGAACCCCTCGGACACGATTGCGGGGCTGGGGTCCCGGGCGTGCGGAGCTGTCCCGCCCGCCCCCTCCCGCTCCGGCGCGCTGGGTGTTTATTTTCATTGCCAGTACGTTACGGGGAAGGAGGGGGTGGGCACTCTCGGGGGGGTTTGAGGCAGCCTGAACTTACTGCTGCCGTGTTGTGTGTGGCAGCCTACCTCAGCGAGGTACCTGAAATAGCTCCTGAATCCTCACCACCCCTTTCTCTCTCAACAAGAAGCTCCGTGTAACTCAATATTTCCCCTCGAGCGCACTGTTCACTTCGGTGGCAGGAAAAAGCTCGTTCACTTTCCGTGTTCTCTTCCCTCCCGGGCGGGCTCTCTGATGAAGGGAGCTGTACCTGTGGCAGGAGAGAAGTGCGGATGGGGAGGGAGGGTCTCATCCACTCCCAACTTCCAGATGAGGGAGTATCTCAGTGCTTCCTCTGTAGACTTGGTGCTTGCCGAGCTAGGAGTGCAGAGGCAGGTAAGAGGTAAGTGAGGATCACTCTGGCTCTTGGAAGGGCATCTGGTAAAACTGGGAAGAGGCAGCTTCAAAACAGGGGCCGAGGTAACCTTTCACAATGTGGTGGAAGGTGATCAAGCCATGGAACTTGTCAGATGCTGTGGGCACGTGCTGTTCTGGCTCAAATTTTTGTGTTCAGAAGGCATCTGGGTGAATTCATGAGAGAAATCTTAAGATTTTAAAGAGAGATACGCTGTCTTTGGCTCACAGAGCCCCTCAGCGCTACGTTGCCAGCAGCTGGAAGAATATCCTGGGAAAGCACCACTGTATCTTGACTTGTTCATATGCCCTTTCTAGGTGCCTGCACTCAAACTCTGCTCCTGATACTTTTTCCACTTAGGGCTGAGCTGATGTTGCTAAAAAAACCTAAAAACAGTCCTCAGGATACTTGGTATGAGGAACCTGGGATGCCAGCTGTGACTATCACTCTCATGATTTTATAAGGCAATTGTATGGTCACTCACAGAAATGAAACATTACCAGTATTAATTCTATGTTGAGAGAAAAGCTGACTCAAAAGCTTCTCCTTGATAGCTAAGTTTTCATTGTTTCTCAGATGAACCTAGACTAAAGTTTATCTTCAAGTCACACATTTTGCTCTCTCTTCTTAGTGCTTTTCAATTACTTGTTGGTTCAGCTCTGGACTCGGCTGATAAAGAATAGTTTAGGACAAAATGCAACTGTTCCCTATGCCCATAAAATGTTCATGCTGTATCTTCACACAGTTGCAGAGTTGTTTTCAATGTGCTTAAATACTTTCTTTAGAAAGTATTACAAACATTATATTCAATTTCTGTTAGGTTGAGGAAGGGAAAATTTGCAAGCACTGAAAAGTAGGGGTTTAGCTTACAAAATAATTAAGAATAAACTACAGTGTAGGAGATGCATTTTCTATAACAATGTTTAAACTTATTCTTCTATTTAAGGAGGAAAATCAAATCTCTCATCTACTATGCTTTCTTGGTTTACCTTGAGACACAATTAACTTGGACATGATAGAGGCATGTATAAGTACAAAAGCATCAAGTTAATCTGAAAACAAAAAATGGTTATAACTTAAGATGACCTTTCTTTCTCTTATCTTCCACCCCATCCTTTCATGTTTCTTCTAAAACTTGTAGAAGCAATTTGGTGTTGACATTCAACTACACCACAGGGGTCTCAAAAGCAAATTTTAATTGTAAATACTTTGTATTTTGTTCCTTATTTGACCACTGCCTACACATTTGGATCTCTAGTGAATTTTTTGAGTACTTTAAGCTTGCTGTCAAATTTACACAGGTGAAAAAGCTTTCACTGGATTTCACAGAAATCAAGCAATTTCAGTTGCTCGAGGAAGCAATGCAGCAGGGAAATCCAGCCTTAAGAGAAAAACCCTGTTAGTTGCTCATAGCTAACGCACTGCCTTTGATCACACCATTCTGCGCAGTGCAATGTTATCCTTCTCAAGACAGTTTCTGGTGTCATTTATTAGCAATACCATGTAAACCCAACAAGGCTGGGGACTTACTCCTCTAGATCCTGTAATGGACAACTGACACATGTATTTTTTTCTACCCATAACTGTAAGCCCTGAAAGTTAGAAGGAAACTTTTCAGCTTTACTGGTGCAGATACCTACTTTCATTTTTACCACTGTCTCATAACACACTGAGGTAGAAAATGTAGTGATTACCATATACGGAGAGTTAAAGTAGATTATGGGCTGCTTCTTTTGGAAAGAGACACCAGAATGTAGAGTCTGAGTGATTATTTCTCAGCAGATAGAAACTTGGGGGGCATTCAATGAAATTACCAGGCAGCAGATCAGCAGTGAACGCAGTGGAATTTCCTTTCCAGATACACATTTCCACATGTGTATATGTCATTCACATGTGGAACTACTGTGGTGTATTACGGCTTAACGTACGAATGAGTTCTAAAAGTAATTAGGCAAAATAAAAATAAAACAGATATTGAGCAGT